CACATTATTTGGTCTTTAGGGAGTATTGCTTTCAACATGTATCCAATAAAACATGGAAAACTAAAACCAAGAAAAATTCAGCAAAATCAGAAAGAGACTGAGCACAAAGATTTAAACATCTTCTTAAAACTAAACTGAAAATAAAGAAAAAAAGAAAAAAGGAGTGTTCTCCATTACAAAAGTATCTTTTGTTTATCACAAACTCTGATGTTATCCTTCAGCTTCAATTTTGTGACACTGTTCTAGCTTTGTCAAAGAGAACTGCTTCCTATAGAGCTCGCAAAGAAGTTATTTAGAAGACAAACTATTTTTTAAGATGGGAGTTTTGCTTAGGATGGACGATGGGCGCTGTGCATAAATACAAATTTAACAGCCACTTTGTAAATAATTCAAACAGCAACATCAGAGCAGCAAGGCATTCGGTACTTATTTATATACAGACATGCCTATGCCCAAGTGTGAGGCAACCCTCAGTTGTAGCTGTCTTGTCTCCATGGTCATCTTTAAAGATTTAGCAGAGCAGTGGGAGCACAAAGGAAAGAAGATGGGCTGAGTTTCCTAGCAGGGAAGAAAAGAGGTTCTGTGCCCACATTATAAATACAAATGTTCTTAAAGCACACTTAATTTCAGTCCCAAAGGGAAGTGTGAACCACCAGAGGGAGCAACAAGCTTTTCCTTGAGGAGCTGTAAAATTATTCATGTCATTAGTTAAATGTAGTGTAAAGATTTTCAAAAGAAAAAGGCCTTTTAACTCCACCATGAATGAATAAGAACTGTGTTTTAGTTCAGGAAAAAAAGCTTCAATAAAGGCTAAATGGAATATCTTTGAGCTCCATTCTCAGTCTCTATTATGTCCCTGTGAGGTGCTCATTTCATGGATAAATTAATGTAATCACAATATTAGCCTTCAGAGATATTCATCTTGTTTTTCCAGCCTCCTCCTCGCGCTGAGTTGTCTGAATCAACATCATAACAGAGGGAGCGCAGACACTCCAGACTGCATTCTTTGATTATGTGTGGGAAAATGTCTTCCTCACCATTGACAATCTGTTGATACCTTGCAAAATCTGAGATGAAAGCGAATGCAGCTTAGACTGTGAAAAACCCCTTGCCTGCTCACCGGGAGGTAAAAGTACTCTCACAAACATTGAATTGTACATCAGAAGTGTTATCAATTCCACCTGAAACGGAGGGGCCCCGGTGGCAGAGCCAAACCCCCCCTACCCGCTTTTGATCGCACCAGCGGCGGCTGTAAACAAGTATTTTCCCATCTCCCTTTCTGTCTGTCTCCCTCCACTTCCCTCCCTTTTTTTTCCTCTCTCTCTGTCTCTCTCTTCCTCCCCCACCAAGGTGTCTAGAGGGGGAGGTTCCTTTGATTATCTCCGCCGTGGATTAATTGCTTTTCTTAACCTCTGCACAGACGTGCTCCTACACCGCCCCGGAGCCCGCCGCACGCGCCCAGATGGACCCCTGCCAGGAGAAAAACAAACCACACCGCGCTTCTATCTCCCACCTTCTCTCAATTACTGACCTTCATCCTTTCATTTCGCCTTGGATGTTATCATCGGCATTATCAGTGTATTTACTTTGTTTGTTTAGCCGCTTACTTGGCGCACTGCAGCAATCCTGGCCATATTTTAAGCAGACTGAGCACGTGTGAGAGGTGTATTAATTTCTGGGAAGAGTTACAGCAGCAGATGAGATGAGTGTGTGTTGTCAGGTAAAGTGTATTGTGTGTCATAAAGTGGCTGCGGGTCACCAAGGAAGGCGGAGGGGCAGTTTTTATGCAGGAATATTATTACACTGGCTCTTTTTTGGACTGTGTCTACTCCATGATTAAGTAGATTTTGGCCTTGAGATGTGCTGGCCAAGCAATTTCAGTCACGTTTTTTTTTTTCCTTTTCTTTTTTCCCCCGTTCAACCCTGAGTGCTCTTTTCCATCTCACTTTGCCTTTGACACGCATGTGCATCACACCTCTGAAAAGGTCCCAGCCCCGTCCTCCAAACACTATCATAAAGCCAAAGCCCTGACTGCCTCCTTCAGACCTTGGCCTTTTTTTTTCTTTCTTCAGGACACCCTGAAAGCCATCTCTGTGATTTATGCGCTGTATTTCACATGCAGACCACCTGGAGTACCTCCACAGGTTGGACAACGCTGTGCGAGAATGTTCTGAGCACAATCCACAGTGTGATTGCTACAGGAGCAAAAAAAAGTTTTAATCGATTTTTTTCTTTTTTCTCTGTTGTTGTGACTAAGAGTTCAATTTAGACGTGGTGGAGAAGTTTCTTTTTTTAGCCTGGAGTTGTTGGCAAAAAAAAGTGTTGGAATATATAACCTTTCTAGTCTCTGTCAGGAGTTTCATAATCCAAAACTTACACTCTGTGGTCTTGGTCTCACTCCAGTTCAACATTTTTTTATCTCACTAAATGAATCCAGACAACTTCTAACTTCAGTTTTGCATGACTGTTTATGACATTACTGTAAGTGGCTTTAGGGATTTCTACGTTTTTTTTTCTTTTTTTTTTTTTTTTGCCAGTGAATCCTAATTGGTTCAGGTGTTTGATACAGAGAGCACTGTGGGGCTCCAGTCTTACCGAGATGAGCCAGCCCACACACATATACACACTCACACACACACTCAAGGATACACAAATGCAAAATCTGCATGTGAGACATGAGCAGACGCATAATGTGCACACTGACTCCCTCATTCACTCTCTAACAGGCTCGACTCCCCGGACTGTGCGGTACAGTGTGCTGGTGCTGATTTTCCCCATCAGCAGAAAGCCGGGATGAGCCGAGCTAATTGAGCTGGGAGGCCCGGCGGGGGGGAACAGGGCCCCTCTACGCACCGGCTCGTCACTTCCTTTCTTTATCCAACCACCACTGTGTCTAAAGTCCCATATCGCCAATCAGTGCTACACAAAGAAAACTATATTAATGCTTGATTCAGTGCTTCAGTAATGTCTGATACATACCAACATCATTTCAAATGTAGGGAATTTAAACGCATTATAAATTCTGCGAATCAAATTAAATACAGCACATTACCAGATTGATTAATTGTTGTATTAAATCACCATCAATGCAAAAATAAACCTAAAGCCTGTGCATACATGCCCGTGCTGACAGCCATTGTTTTCCACCTCAGCGTTACACCTAAACAGCATTACAAGCCCAAATGGACAAACTGTATTGTCTGCCTCACAGCAGACGAGCCGACAACAAAAGCAGATTACCTGTTCTATTTGAGGGATATTAAGATGTTACATGGCATTCGATGGGCCCTCGGAGGCCCGTCATAAAAGCCACAGCAAGCTGTTGAGACGCAGCCTTGGAGTTGTTTCCATCTTTTAGCTGCACTCGGGGACTGATTATGGTCAAGCAAACGGCCTTTACCTGGAAAGTCACTTTCACTTTCTCGTCCACCATTTGTTAGTATGGCTAATGTCTCATTAAGTCCCTCATAGGGGAAATGATGCGCTGTTTGGGTGAAGGTTAGGCTCGCGGCTTATCATGAGACAAAAGAGGGACTGATTATGGAGGTGCAGGCGTGCCGCAGCCTGTCTTTCACAACAAGCCGTATTTGTGTAACTGTTGGAGCTGCTTCATTACCTGTAATCTATTAGCCCTCCCTCCACCTCCGCCCAATAAAAGTTAAAACATTTGGGCTAACTGATGAATGCTTGATCACTTTTGCGAGGTGCTCTGCGGAAAGGAGTGGACGAGAAAGGAGGTGGGGGGTAAATTTTACATTATCAAGGAGATAATTACAAAGCAATCATAAGCTGTTTCTGGTAAAGTGGTAAACAAGCCAAGGGCTTGTGCTCTTTTCCCAAGAATAATTAAAAGTCGCTTTGCATTCGATGCATCAGTGTCCTTCCTCCACTCAGCCGCCACCTCTTGGCATAATAAATCTGGCAGAATTTTACAAAGCGGAGGGGGGGTCATCTGCCGTGTTTTGATTTTTTCTAGAAACGATCCGGCTTGTACTTCGACTCAGTCCTGAATTGATATTTTGCTGCTATTTGTCTGTTTTTAACAGGCAGCTCTGAACAGCTGGGACGTCTGTGTCACAAAGCAGGAGGGTTTCCAGGCATGGATGACTGCTCCATACTTTTCCTTTTAACGCCTGAGTAACAAGTTGATTCATTGATTGGTCCGGTCTTGGGAGAATGGGGACTTGCCAGCGGAGGTGTAGGAATATTTGATGAGAAGCATCTCCTTTTGGCTGAATTCTCAACCATGGAAATAGCAATCAACTTTTACTTCAAGTGACGATAAAACAGGAAAATTCATATGCAGGGTGCATTTTAGCCAGGACTCGATACTGAAATGCGACTCAAATGGCAAGGCAAACAAGATAATTTGATCCTGGGGTGCACTTCAGTTTTATGGAGTTCTCTTTAACTTTCCTAACTTCAGGGCTTTTAATGAGTATTGCGTTCACTTTTCTTGACAATCTTGTGCGCTGAAAGTGTTCCAGAGATCTCAGGAAGACAAAAGCTTGGACAGTTTTTTTCTTCTTTTTTTTTTGTACGTGTGTCATATTCATTTCCTTTGTCAGTTTACGAGCCGCCTCTATAACTTAAGATGCCCGGGGGCTTGTCACATCACGGCGCTGACATGTAGTCGTTACTCCACTTCTAACAACACCAGAATCAGTCAATTACCCGTGGAATCGATCAACATAACCCCACTGCCACTCATTTAAAGGAGCCAATCAATCTGCATGAGCCTTTTCTCTATTTTCACAGAAATGTTACGAGCATTTCTGTGTGCATGTGTGTGTTCGGCACCGCGTGTTGGCCCCATGATGGATCTACTCAAGTGACAGCTCGTCTTCTGATTTATGGTTGTTTATCGCCCCAGAAAGGCTGAAGTTGACCCCTCGCCACTTCCCATGACGCCTGTAAAGCCGCACATCGAGCTGCACGATTGCCTCGATGTGGAATTAGTGCCTCCATTGGCGACTTAAAATGTTTGTTTTCAAAAGCGCTTAACTTTGACTTACTCCCTCACAGACATTTTCACCTGCGCTCTCTAACTCCTCGGTGAGGTCACTACTAAATGAAGCGGCCCGTAATTCCACATCGCAGCGTGATAAATGCTGCAGCGGCAGTCGGGAAGGCAGCAAGGGTGGGATGAGGATAGGGGGACACCGCGTCCTCTCTACCTGATGACATGCAAGGTTTATCACGTCGAGCAGAGACATGGTCACCTTACCCCGGGCCTCATTGTGACAGCCAGCAAGTCACTGGAGAGCACCATTGGAAATCAATAAGCCCCTGCTCTTTAATTGTTAGAAAAAACGTTTCCCTGTTTACAGCATCACATCATCAGTCAGGACAGCCTGACTTTCATTTCTTTTTGCCTTTCCCTCTCTTCTTTATTTTCCTCCAACACTTTTCGACTCACCGGTTGATTGTCGGTGAGATTATGTAACGAGAGCCGGCTGGTTTTTATTTTGGGGAACCTGTTTGATATGTATACGGAGAGCTTTTCTGATTAACTTCAGGCCACTTAAGGCATTTGTGTGTCTTATCTCAGAGAGTGTTTGCCTCCTCTGCTGTTCCTCACACTAACAGAGGGCATGTGCTTGTTTCTGTCCTCTGTTGACTTCAAGGTGTAACTGCTCCGCTCTGTAGCTTTTGTTGTGCTGTTCATCCTGATGGCCTTCATAGTGGATTCCCAGTCTTTTTAGATCTTATACCCAGGTAGTTCCTTATCCAAATCGTGTCCACTACTACAGAGGTTTCCATCTCGTACAGCCATGTTTCTACAGTAGCACAAAACAGACAAGCTCCTAACAGCTGTACCTGTTTCTTAGAGGTGGGAGAAAAAGTTGATTCACATAAGTATCGTGATTTTTTGTTTAACTTCTTAAAAACTTACTTACATGTGATGTATATTTCTGGGGGAAATATGGCTCCTGGAATAGTCAGTCAACAATCACAATCATTCAACTGTTTCACTGGTGTAAAAAATTGCAATTGAAATCGAATTGGCATCCAAAAAATCGTAGAAGAATGGAATTGGGAGAAAAGAATATTGTCCCAGCCCTACTGTTTCTGCATTTGTAGGTGGCTGCTGAATGCGCACGCTTGGAAAAGAAATAGCAAGAAAAAAGAAAGAGGGGTTGTTATGCGCCAAAGAATTTGTATTAATAAAAGTATTTGATCGTGAAAAACCTTGACAAAAATGGAGGGTTGGTGTTTCGCATGCATGACAAGAGCTTGTTGTTCTTGAAGGACTCTGTTGCTTCACCGATGGGAGAGGTGAGCGGAAGAGTGTTTGAATCTGACTGATACATGTTGCTTTTATTCTTAGATCTACTCACTGTTCCATTTAATAACTCAGATTTTCTCCAGTTTGGCAAAGTACTTAACCAAACTCCTTGATTGATTGCTCAATCTTTTTCGAGATTGATGGATTTAGGATTTAAATGAGGAAATGGCTTCTTTGTGTTGGACCAGATAACTCCAATTTACTTAACCTTTTCTGTTTAGTGCAGGTTGTTTACTGCTGTGGCAAGAAAAGGGATTAAAAAGCTAGAAGAAGTAAACAGAAATTTACAGTGGTTTTAAAATTTCATTTTGTTCATCAAAACACTTTTTTTCTCCCCTGCTCATTGTGGAGATTTTTCTATCGCTGTTATTGGGATGAGTGAAACCAAACTTTTGTTTGATGCAACTTTGAAATAATTTACATGAATCAAACAAAATCACATGACTTATGGCACCAACAGGACATCAAATAACATTGTGAAGTGAATTTAAATCCAAATAAGTGTAAAAAGTTAAAACAGAAATAAAATATGTCACCATGACATATATACCAATCATACAATAACCGCTTTCTATAACTTCTTTCCAGCTGTGGCACATGACGTCCACTTCTCTGTCTTTGCTTGTGAGTAAGCCATTGTGACCGAAACTAACCCCAGCTAGACCTGTTAGCCGAAGTAAGGACAACAGGCCAGCAGGAAACAGTTTAAAATGAAAATCAACTTAAAATCATTTAAAGACAAAATCAGCTGAACTCCTTTATTCCTCCAGGATACACATAAAACTGTACTTTTTGTTCAAAGAAAGCACTGATGGAGACGGGTCATGCTCACTGGAGGAGCTCATTTTGAATCTCATCAGCCGTCATTTCAAGCCTTTGACTGGTAGGGGTTCATTTCAGAAACGCTCCTTTTTTACTCACAGGTCAAACCAGGTAATTATGGGATACTCATGACTTTCTTTTGAGAAGCCCAAAGCCAATAGTTACCGTGTCTCCACACTCCTCCCTCCATCTGTGTCTCCACAAGCTTCTCCTATTAGTGTGTTACCTGGGGAGGGCCACGGCTCCAAAACTCTGATTAGGCCCTCTCTGGCTAATTAACTGCTCGGGCCACAGTTGGCCATTTGCAGCGTTTAATGGAGGGACGACAGCGCAGCTGTCCTTCGTCTGTCATTCATCTGATTTGTGCCCTTTATGCCACAATTTGTGCCATAAATTTATAAATAGCCAAAGCTTGCGTAGCATTTATCACTCTCGTTAAAGTGACAGAAATAGTGCATACTATGACTTTATGAAAGCAGTGAAGGCTGTGTTTTAATTATGAGAGAGAGGAGGAGAGTGTAAAAGGCTTTTGTCCTCGTGGAAGGGATTCCTGGTGATTCCTTGAGAGGGAACCTAATTATGACAATGTTGTGGAAGTTTAAAACGCTGCAAGCAGAGCTGATCACTGTCCTCCCTCTCTTCTCTTCTCTCCGGCTTTTCAGGGCAACAGTCTGCTTAATTATTTATACCTATCTATTACAGTTCAAAAATCAGGAGGACACTAACATGCACACAACAGAGGAAAACTAATATTCCCTTCCTGAGTGTGTACTCCAGACTTTTAAAGCCCTTCACTCTGCTCAGTATGAGTGGTGCAGGAACAGAAAAATGCAGCTGAAGTGATGGCTTATTTTGTGAACTAACTGCTTGCAACTTTACATCAGCATCAACATACTCCTAATAAACCCTCTGAAGCTGCAGTCTGTGTTTATATTCACTTATCAACTCAGTTACTCACATAAGCCCCAGGCGCTTTAGCATCATCCAGTTGTTGTGTGTTCATTAAGCAGAGTGTGTTTGCCCACTCTGCCCTAATGTGTGCAAAGAAATGTCCAAATATTTTATGTTTTCTCGAGGAGTGCTGCTGGATTATTTTGGACTTGTTTGGTTCTGTTTCTTCTCGAGGCCATCTTTTACATTCCACCTGCGTAAAATTCTGCAAAAGCATGTTTGCAGAGCGAGTGTTATTGAACCGCTCATGCACGGATGAATTTTATATGGAAATGACGCTGCTTGTGGTCAAGTTTAGAACTCGGTCCTCATGTTTCAACACTCCTCTCCCTCTCAGGATGCTGGATGTTTATTTCCAACATTGTTTTCTTGTGTCTGTGTGACCAGCCTGCACTTATTTTTTTTTTTTTTTTCCTCCCTGCGGAGGGAAAGCGGATAGCACATGTGAGCGGATCACTTCTGATTAGTGGGGCTGCTTTAAAAAGACGCCTGTAGTGTTTTTCCCCAGAAACAAACAGTGGTGTGGCCTCCCCGGGGAAGACTGCCATTTCCTTAGCACAGCTCAGCCCCCGAGAAAAGTTGTTTTATCTCCCAAGTGCTGTTAACTTCAGGCTCTAAACTGTGTGCTCGCCTGTGCCTTGTTTTTCACATCACAAGATGATGATATCGTGCAGAATGGCGACAGCTGATTAAAAAAAAGGCTGTCGGATTCATCTCGTCTTCACAGCAGAGGATGACTTTTTTTAATTTTGTAACAGCCTCACAACATAAACTCTCTGTCATTCAATTCTCGCCGCACATTTACATATAAAGTGTCTGATAAGCAGATTTGTGTGTCGCTCATGCACATTTGCACAATTTGCAGAAAAACATAAAGGTTGAAAGATATTTGGCTTTGTTTTGAATAAATTTAACCTGCGTGGCGTTTTGTGTGAAAAGAGGCAGAGTGAGGAGAAGGGGGGCCGCGGCGGGGGAAGTAGGTAAATAGCACAGACGGGTGGGGAGCAGAAGCAGGCGACTGATTCGCCTCCGTTCTGTCGGGAGGATTTACGGTGCGAGTGTGTTGAGCCATCAATCAATTGTGGCGCACTCCAAGGACAACTTTGTCTCTTTATGCAATTTGTAAGGCTGTCCAGTCAAATTGATTCCTTAACCAGAAGCCGTCCAGCTCCCACAGAGGAGTCCCCCCCCACACACACGCACACACACACACCCTCATGAAAAGAACATCAACCCCTGTGTTTGCTGTAAAGCAGGCAATAAATGACAGAGCCGTTGACTATTGATGGCCAAAATCCAACTGCAAAACAAAGTGAGTGACAAAATAACAGGATTAAAAGCGATCGCAGAAGTGATTTGATTAAATGTGATTAAATGGGACAACTGAGGCTGTCGAGTCCCTGTGACAAATGATTCTGCCATTGTGATTGTTCCCACTGTCAGTCCTTCATGGATTATCTCCAGAACAAAGGCAAATTAGGTTTACAGACAAATATGGACATTTCCTCTGGGGTGTAATCTGTTTTAAAGCATGTGCGCATTAACACCTTGTTGTGCACGGAGTAGAAAAAAAATGAAGTATAACAGCATCTTCATGAGCATGTCTGTCAGCCGTACATGCTCCTGAGCCGTTTTGACTTTGAAGACTTTCTGTGGGATCGAGCGAGCAGCCGCTGATGTCTGTCCTCTTTTTTTGAATGCTCATTTTGAATGCTCACTTTTAATGCTCACACTTCCCATCCTACTGAAAATTTAGATGAAACCATGCTTGCTTCTTGATGATGAAAGCCTCAGCGGCTGAGTTGCCGTGAAATCTTCCCTCCTGTAACTTTTGCAACTGTTGCTTGAGAAAAAAAAGGTATTTGGGGTGTTGCATTATGGGATTTCTCTCCTTTTTTTACAGATGAGAAGAAGAAGAAGGCTAACTTTAAATTTCAGAGGGAGTGCGAGGTTTTCTCTTTCTCTGTTCTCAATACTTTCGGACTGGGGCTGACTGGGATCATAATTCAGGCCAGAAGTTTGACTCCACCCAGGCCAGGCCAATACACATTGATGGTACCGGCGAAAAGTTTTGGACGTTTGAAGCCAGATTTAGTGAATATAATGCTAATGTGAAGAATTAAACATTAGCTACATAACTGCAAATTTAATATAGAGTAAAAACAAAAATATGCCTCTGTGCAACAGCTTCACAGCAAACTTTATTTAACAAAAAACAAAATTACAATCACAATGTGACACAACTCTTTGCTTCAACAAAAATGTAAACTAAAAGTGTAAACAATCCCTGATCAAAGACCGGATTTAGTCAAAGACATTTTAGTATTTTAGTTTAGTATAGTTTAAGTTAAAATGTAGTCTAAAGGAATCAGTTTTAGTCTTTATCTCATTTTTCGTATCATTTTAATCAGAGGTAATTTGACAGGTGCTGTCCCTGCTCCAACACACCTGATTTAAATGATCAGCTCGTTATCAAGTTCTGTAATGGCTTAATAATGAGCTGATCATTTGAATCAGGTGTGTTGGAGCAGGGACACATCCAAAACATGTAGGACGGGGGGTGCTCGAGGACTGGACTTGAGAACCACTGGTTTAAACCGTGCTATATAAATAAAATGGATTGGATTGGATTACCTAACAGTATTTTACTCCCATTTGTTAACCTCAAACTTTAATAAAGCTCACAGCTAGTTCTTGTAAAATAGAGGTAACTGTTGCACTGTTTAATCAGAGCATTTGTGACGAGAAATTGGATGATAGTATGCAACTATCTAAAGTATCATTGCATTTTTGGTTTGCAGCATTGTAAATCGTACCACCTCAAAAAAAAAAAAAAAACTGCCCATGACTGATTTAGGAGGAAACTCCATCCCGACATTTTCTGCTGAGCGTGCACTCGGCCCTCCTCCATGTAGACTCTGTGGTGATTTGGGACGTTTAGCGGACAATAGGGGAGTGATTATAGAAACAGGCTGTACACTTGAATAATTGATGCCGGAAATCATGCTCAGCTTTTCAGAATCCTTAATGACGCTCACCCTTATCCTTTACCCCCAAACCACACACACACATACACATGCGAAAAAATGCTTTACATACACACTGCAATATTCAATTTGTGTACCAACACCTTCGATAAATGCCATGACTCACTTCCCTGGGTGACGTGATCACATTAATGCGGAAATAATAAAAAAGCCCAACATTAATGGCGTATGATGAATGACACTGCAGAGTAAATGTCTTCCTATTGCTTTTAATGTAGTCTTTAAGATTTCAGATTAGCATCCTCTCATTTTTCTGCTGTGAAAATCAAATTCAAAGGAACATTTCCCTTTGCATTCTGCTGACTGGAATGACTTGAAACATAAATATAGAAACAAATTGAGTCAAAGATTATCTAATGGAGTGTGCGTCACTGCGGTTTGTCACAAGCTTTATATAAGGGTATTGCTCAATGGCTGCAGTGCTTAAACTATACCAAAAACCTCCTATTAAAACTCTTCCAGTGCACTTTATCATTCATTTAAGACATGAAACCATTCTGCCACCAGTAAGCCTTTGACAGCTGGCACAAGGCACACATCAAATCCATGTGAAGAATGGCAGAATTTGTGACAACAAATAGCCTCAAAATATAGTTCATTTCAGTTTGATCAAGAAAAAAAAAAAAAACCCTTCCATCTGAAGGCTGTCTGACAACCAGCACCATGACATGTCAGCCTCACTGCACATTTTGTGTGTGATAAGGAAACTCTAGAGGGAGGGAGATCCACCATTAACAACTGTGGCTTCCTTCACAAAAGAGATTTAAGAGTTTTGGGTGTGACATCCCTGACAGTCTTAGAAAGATGAGAAATATCAGGGCTGCACTTTCTCGTGCCGCAGCGAGATCTGCAGATTTGCTAGTGAGGGAGGTACCATGTAACAGTTTCACATCTTTTGTCAGAGAAACCAGTTTCTTTCATGGGTTTTCGTTCAAAAAAATTGTGTGTTAAGTCAGGAGTTGTCTCAGCTTTTAAAACTTTCAACAGTTTGTGTACTGAGATTATGAAGACTTTAGGAAAACACATTTCCAGTCAAACGGCTGACAGGTCGCGTAACTATAGCAGGTTACTTTTCTACTGTTATTTGAATGAAATATGATAAGGTGCTACTTCACCTCTACTTCAGATCTACTTAGCTGGTTACTGTTACTTCTACTTGCTTACCTCGCTAACCCTAAATCCATGTGGAGAGCTCTAAAATTCTAGATATGCACCATGTACAAGTAAGGTTAAAGCTCGATAATCATTTAATTTCAACTGATTTGTCCAAACGTTAGGGCTGGGCAACAAACTGAAAATTTACCAATATCGAAATCTACGACAAGGGGAGGAGATGGAGGACGGTTCAAAAGTTGTAGTGGCAGCTGAAGTAGATGAATTTCGTGTGGGAGGGGTGAGCAGCTTGTGGAGTAATTATCGTCCATTTATCGTTATCAATACATCATGACATTGGTTTGAGGTCATATCGCCCAGCCCTACCTGACGTATTAGCCAATACCCTCTTTATGTGAAGATTGCAGCTTCATCTTTGCGACTCCCAAGCGATGTATTTGCTTCCTCTGTGACATTTAGTTGTTTTAGGTGGCTGATCAGTGAAATAACATACTACAGAGTTATATATTTGAGATGTTTTGTTTCTATAACAGCTTATGTCCATCAGTCAATGTCATTCTTACAATGTAATTCTCATAGTCCTGGCATAGAGGAACCCTTACACAAGTCAAACAGCCATGTTGTTATGTTGTCGTGAAAGTCATGGATTTTGGCAGTGATTTAGAGGTTTCTGACTGGACTTGGTCAGCCTCACACATGCAGGTCAAAAATGTCAACAAACTTTACCCGCAGGTCGCACCTGCAACAACTGCCTGAACTTAGTCTTGTCTAAAAGTGGCACAGTTTTGCATCAGGCTGACTGCAAGCCTGAGGAAAACATGCAGAATATAAAACTCCAACCCTGAGTTTGTGCCTGTAGTACATTGGACTTTATTTTGTCCTTGTTCTACTGACAAGCCAACATGGCTGTATGGAGGACAGTTGATTCAGGTGTTCAAAATAATGAACTGCAGATGGAGCAGGGTTAACATCAGTCACGACCTGAAACCTTTTGTATCAACTTTTGCTCTGAACTCAGTCCAGGTCGAAATACCTTCACAGGTACCCAGTGAACAATTCTTCTATTTTCTGTTCTCCAAGTCCAGTCAACACCTCTAAACTCCAGCCCCAGGCTAACGGTAATAAAATAGGAGGTTTTCAAAAAAAATAAATCTCAGTCTCGTTATTTTGGAGTGGAGATGCCAATCTGAGCCATGGCTGTTTGAAGGTTGAGGACCGGCTAAAGCACCCCGCTCACAGCAGCTTTTTCTGCCTCCTGTCTACAGCTGTTGACATCACAGCTGACTCCAGGCTCCATTAGGAAGCTGCTCTTGGTTCAACCGCGTCTCATGCTGCTTATTTGACATTCTGCTCACCTGCGCAATCGTCGAGCGAGACATTGTGTCGCTATTGATCAGCCAGGACCTGGTCAGTCAGGAAGAGAGTGTGCCCACCGGGTTATCAGTGACATCACTCCTCCTCAGGAAAAAAGGCGCGTTTGCCTCTCCTTTCCCTTATCGATAGTTAGGGGAGTGCATTAAGAGTGGCTGCTCGCTCTGATTTATTGAGACATGCCAGCGCCTCCCCGTGCACCCCCAAAGGCCACTGGGTAACAATCCAGTCTCACTTCCTTTCCCTGCAAACAGTATTTATTTGCTCACTCTCAGGGAGGCAATGACGGTCGCTCTGACAGACAAACAATCTTATGATGCAGCCTTCATGTCAGGACTGGATTTTTTCTCTCCCTCTCTCTCCATTCTCCCTCCAGAACGTCTCAGTCAGTTGTCAGTCCTTTTCTCCCCAGCCATGGGCCCTGTTGACACGGGAATCCGTCACTCCTCGCACGGGGGAGAGCGGGACATGTTGGCGGGCATTACTATTCATGAGGCGGTGTGATCCACTCTGTCACCCGTTGTCAGCAAGAGGTGTCTGTCTGCACTGCCGCTCCCTTTACTCTCTTTATCAGCCAGGGGTGGCTAATGAGAAGCACCAGGTTAATACCACCACTAGAACAGCAATGGCTTTAAACCTCTTAATTCATTTAGACACTGCTAATTGAAACCCATGTGAACCACACTCTGGACACCATCCATTTTCCTGCATGCTCCCAGCTGAAAGCCGAATGAGATTTGATCTAATTTTTTAAACAGATCCCAGGATTAACATACCTCACATCAGATCATTTTCACTTCGAATTTCTTTTTTGAGCCATTCTCAGCCCTGAACGTTTTGGCTATTAAGTCGACATTTCGTCTCGCTGGGAAATATCAGGAGACAGCCACAACCAAACGCACTTATTCCCAGCAGTGACACGCAACACCAAAAATAACCAGCTTTAGATAGTCAGGAAACATCGTAGTCCAATTACAGCAAGTAAAAACAGCAGCCATGACTAATACTAGACAACCTCCTGGATGTGGCAGGGAGTAAATTAAAAATTCACCCCGCAGTTGTCAGACATGACTTAGTCATCCTGCACTTGAGTGTTTAATCAGCATGCAGTGAACACTGTGGGCTCGTGGACTAAAACCAGGAGTTCTTACTCTCCCTGCTTCCACCTCCTTCAGCCTTCATGCATATTTATCCTCGCGGCTTTTGTAAATGCTGCTGGAAATGAATATTGACAACAGCGAGAGGGCGTTTTCCAAATTCCATCCAACCACGCGGTCAACGGTGCACCTGGCACCTGCAGGCCCTTCTTTTCTTCCTGCCTGAGCACACTGCAAGCGGACTTTCCTCCCTTTACATTCACCGCTGTCTTTGATGCATTTTTATTCTACACTGGAAGGCCGTGGCCTAATGATGGGAGATCATTCCACCTCCCTCAGATGCAGCTGTAAATATTCAAATGAGCCATCATGTGTCGACGGTGTGAGAGATAACGGGTCCATCTTTTACCTGGCCCTTCTTGTGTGTGACAGCCGGATATATTTAGTCGACTGCATCGTCGTCCCCAAAAGCGCTTGATTTGCCGGCATAAATTCCCGCAGACACACATCCCTCCCCGCACCCGCAGAGGCAAATGCTTATTCATTTACCCGTTTGTCATTTCAATAGTTATTTTATGGTGCCGCTGTATTAATTGAACTGCTTCTGCTGCACAACAATTCAAGGCCCAGTGAATCTATTACAAAGGGAGTGTGCCGGAAACATTGTTGAACGGGCTCACAAATCAGCCAAAGCTGAGAGGGGAACCTCACAATAATGTAACACAATCGCACTAATCTTTCATTTACAATGTGCTCCTTTCTCAGCCATGCAGGGAAAATGTCTTAAAGCCCAAAGTGACTGCTGAGGGGAAAAAAAAGGGATTTGTTGTGCGGGAGGTCCACTTGATTGCTGCGTGTAAGGAGGTTGTTTGACTTGGAAAGAAATGGGAAGAAAATATCTCATTGGTTAAAGAAAAAAAAAAGGAGTTTTAGTCGCTCAAATTTTACACAATTGCTCGGCAGGTTTAGAGGAGGAATCTTTTGTGTCCATATTGAGTTGAAATTCTGAGATTGGTTTTAAGTTTCTGATAAAAATGGACTTTTAGTTGAAAGTATCTGCAGAAGAAATAAAAAAATCTGCTGATAACTCAGATTTTTAGTACTCAGCTGCTCCACTAGATGATATTGGCTGCTGTGGTGCTCCTCATTACTCTGTAAGCGAAACTATTTACTCTCACCTAATAGCTGATGAAGCAAACATGGTCCCAAACAGCTTTCCTTGTACAAAAAAGCGAGAGGGAAACAGCATTTTGGGTTATTTGTGTTCAGCTGATGAACCGTTGTTTTTGATTCGGAGAAGTTAAGACCTCTGGAGAAAATGTTGCCCCTGGTAGAAATCTTCTTTAAAAGAAGTGAAAGGGAACAAAGATGAGTGACTCTGAGTTTTAGTTGAAGTCATTTCTTGATAATTCAGCCCCTGGTAAAACACCTCAGGAAAGCTGAACGAGGATCTGTTGTACCCCCGGTTGCTCAGCGTACAGTGACGCTAAATTCAACTTAAAAAAATGTCTCTGTAAACTCTACTCCAACTTCCAGGTCCAACTTATCTATGAAGTCCCAGAGAAACAAATTTCGTGCCTACTCTGTGGACTGGCAGACTTTGAAGACTGATTTATTTTCTAAGCCTTTAGTATGACAAAACTAATGTGCTCATAACCCCAATCACTCAAGCTCTGTCAGCGTCCACCACATCAGTCTCCTGCCTGTTATCTGCGGCTCAGCAGTGTAACCTGACATCACATATTCAAGTCAATTCAGGCTTTCAGACATCACTGCTTCACCAGAAATCATTTAAAAGACACAAATTTATCTTAAATACAGATTGAAGTCTAACAGTGTTTTGATTTCTCTCTCTTTTTTTTTTAATAAAACCAAGAAGAAAGAAGAGATGGCAGCCCCCCCGCTCACTTTGTCACTTTAATTCATCTGTTATCTCCTGAAAGACTTAATAATACTTCTGTGACTCAGCACTCGGTTCCCTAAAACAAACAACATGCTCCGGAGCTGATGGGGACATCCAATTTAACTGCCATCTTAATGGAATCTATAATAAGCACAGGGGCACAATAATGGCAAAGCACTGCATCTTCTGATAACACAGCGAGCATCAAACCCCCCTGCGATCACCAAACAAGTCCACTTTTTTTCCCCTCCTTCAGAAGAGCAAAGAACAAAACGTCCAGATGTTGATGTCAAGTTGCTGGTAACGTATTCCCCGTGGGCTCCTCACAGGGGACTTCTGCGGCCCTCACAGCATATAGAAAATAATCTGTCGTCTGTAGCGCCTCTGCGTTTCCTCTTCACACTTCTGAAAACCTCCAGAGTTTTATTTCACGGGCACCTGTTCCCTCATGTGTTGAAGACTTTCATATAAGCGCCGAAAGAGAGGAGATGAAGAAATGCATGCAATATGAGGAGCTTCTCTGGTGACACCGTGTTTCACAAAGACAAATTTACACCGGTGTTTGTCATCCCATGTAGCCGCCTCAATGTGTTAGCTTGACGTACAGCCGCACCATGAAGCAAACAGCAGAAAACGCCAAGCCGTGGCCTGCTGTGAGGGCCCGAGGAACCACAAACAGCTTGAACAAGGCTTCAGAAAGACTGAGCTGACATCCCCTCTGGATTCTCTGGATGTCAAAGGTGGGCAAAGCAAAACGAGCCGCTCAAAGTTGCCGCAAAGCTAACAGAAAGATCGGTGTAACAGTCAGATAAACCAGGCAAACACAGGCACAGATGAAACGATAGTGACTTTGGCTCCTCAACAAATATTCAAATGAGATTACATGAAAGCCAGAGGAATGACAGACGAATGGACACAAATCAGGTTTCATTTGTTTACTCCTCTGCAATTGTGTTAGACTCCCCCCTTCTGGCTCCAGAGGTAATGATTGTGGTGGGACCAGCTCAAAGGCTGTAGTCAGCTGTTTCGAGGAGCTCTGCTAGCGGAGATTAGCGGCAGCTGCTTGGCGACCGACTTGTTCTGCGAAAGGAGGAAAAAAAACATCTCGGCAGAGGGTTTCATTGTCTCTGACTAAAACCACCTTGATGAGGAAGAATCTCAACAACAGGAGGCAGTATGAGCACAGAGGATTGGCAGGCTTTGTTTTCCTCAGACCATATCAAAAACTCAGTCACCAGTCTGTTGTCTTTCCTCCCTTCTTTCTTTCTTTCTTTGTTCCTTCGCCCTCCCTCTCTTCTCGGTGGCGCACGCATGGCGAGCTGTTGCAGATGTTTCCCGTAATGATGCAGACGGCTCACAGAGTCACACAGAACGGAAAGCAGAGCTAGCCGAAATTAGTAAAAATTACTTTCTCATTACCTCCCTCATTGCTCCTGTAAGTAGTCTGAGTTTCCGCACGATTAGGAGAACGAGCCGCCGAGCGTTGGGCCTGAACACACAGAAGCTGGTGCATAAACACACACCCACTACGGGGGGGGGGGATAAAAAGTGAGCCAGGTTGGCCTGACTTCAGCCATTACTACAACCCTAAACACTCATCACCTCGCGTCACCTTTGCTCTAATCGCTGAACAAGCACCATGTCAAAGGCAGGAGACTATTAGACTTCATGCAGCTGTGCCATGCTTAACACTTAGACCTCACCCTCTCTTTTTTTCTTGCTCCGTATAACTTTAATGTGTCAACTACTCAACCGGCAACCTTTCTTGGGCCTGACGGGAGCTAATTATTGCATGAGCATGAATGAATGCATTGTGCCCATTTGTCCTTGTCTGGCTACAATCAGACTCTCTACTGGCTCCGTTTTACAAAGCCGGAGGCCGAATAGATCTGAATAAACTCACATGCTGAATTGATCTGCATTTCTTATGCTTTGTTTTGAGCGATATTTACAAACCTAGAAAATGTCTGAACATATGCTCGAACACTTGACTGCAGAATTGTATTTTTGCTCGAGAGTGAAGCATCTTACTTTGCGTGTGGTTTCTCAGAAAGGTAAAAAAGCAAAAAAAGTTAAGAGGAGATTTTTTCATTGTGTTCCTGTTCTACGAGCTGCCAACCTGGAAGACCTAAAAGGGTGCAGCCTGCTTTGGCCGAGTAATGGATCACCCCGGAACAGAAATGTGCCAGGATCGCTTTACATGGAACCCAGGAACAGAGAAACTGCAAAGTCCGCACAAAACGGTGCAACAGGAAACCCCGGAAACTGGTCGCTTGTGAACCACAGACAGAACTTGATTTTGCTCCTTTTTATAGGATCGACCACCTTGTTCTTTTTTTTTTTTTTTTCTTCTTCCTCTCTTTGTTCTGAATACATGAGTGAAATGTGCAAGGTGTGCTGTGTGAATCTAGGACATGGCTTTACGCCCAGGAAGGCGCTGATAATGTAATGAGGCTCTCTGTGCAGGAGATGTGTATTAGAGAGTGGGAGAAATGTGTCCATCTGAATTTGCAAGCTGCAATGTGTTCCTGGCGAGAATATGCCACTTTTTCAGTTAACGTTAGCCCGTTTTACTCTGTATTCATGGATTAAAAAAAAGTCAGAACAGATATGCTTTAATTTACTGGTATAAATAACCTGCAAGTGCGCAGGAGTTCCCTTTTTACAACAGTCGAGGAGGTTTGTAATGAAAGCATACTGCCAGGTACTGCTCGGGAAGACTTTGTCATGCCACAAGCTGCGAAACAGACCTGATTTTAGAAGCAGGGAACAATATTACACCCACAAAATTAGACTCGTTCTCCAGCCAAAACCACCTCTGTGACTGTATGTAGGATACACACATTATAGCACCTGTCCCTGGCTGCAGAAACCCATACAGTGTCAGATGTGTCATTCCCCATTTCTTCCAACTGTGTGGTATTTCTCTCTGCTGTGCCTGCTGCCTTGTAAAGCATCTACCCAAAAATAACTTCTCCGCTGGAATGCAGGAATAGGAAGGAATTGTGTTCATCCAGTTAAAATTATCTCCAGTCACTCTCTTGGAACCCACGCACCCACATCCCAAAATACCCCTGCCTTGCGTCATGGCTGGACCTTAACATAGCTTCAGAGGGGGAAACTGATGCCAGATCCAGCAAGCGCGTGAAGCTCCTGCAGCCCGTGCCAAGGTCTCATGGTGCGGAAACTGTGCCAGCTGACTCCCCACCATGTAATGAAAAGTGGCTGTGTGTGTTTTTTTTTGTTTTTTTAGCAGGTCACGAGGTCGAGTCAGCTGAACTGTACTGTTGATCCCCGCTAAGAAAGCTGTTTTCCCTAAGCAGCCAACCGTACATGTTGTGTCATTTAGAGCCATGTAAGGGCATTTGTGTCAGCGCCTTGTCACATGATGATGTAACAGAGCCATGCTGCAACACTTTTCAGACAAGTTACACTATAACTTTGTTTGACTTTGGAAGTGTGGTGCAAGATTTATAGTACATACAAACTTGTACTTGGGCTGTCCAAACCAAGAACCATAAACCTAACAGTAACTAAAAACGCAGGGATTTATGATGAATTGGTGAGTTCGCATTTAAGTTAAATTCAAAATGATCATTCAGCTAAATTCACACTCAGTTCAAGACTCTAGATCCCTTTAAAAGAGGCTTCTGTATCAAAGTCTCTATTGTTGGTGCTTTGAAATTAAGTTATTACACCACTGAGTCTTGATAGGAACACTAACAGGCAGTCAAAATCACCTTTTCTCCAAGCCACTTTTGGTGACAGAAGATGCTTGTTTTAGGACTTAATACTATTAAAAAAAATCTAACTATAAATACTTTGACAGATATGAGGACTGCAATCATTCATGATTGGGCAAAATGATATTTTTCCATGACGTTTCATTAGCACTGGAAAAATCCTGAAAAATATACTTGTGACATCTGTTGATGTCGATAATTGAGTATTAAGTAGTAGATCATAAATAACGTACTGAAATGTAGCAGCACTGGGCAGCTTCTTCAGTGACAGGCCTCTTTACCCATGGTAGAGAGATACCGTTAGGGATGTTCCGCTACGATGTTAATATCAGATATTGGTCCGAAATCAGCAAAAAAAAAGAAAATCACATTATATCGGCCTGCTTCTAAAATCTCCGATATCAGCACTCCGATAATAGCAGTCAATTCCGGATACCAATCCAGCAGCGCCCAGATCCAGCATGCAGAGCCCATGTAGTCACAACAACAGTGTGTACTAAGGTACTATAACAAAGTAGGAAGGAGTTGGAGTGATGTCGGCCGTGTGGCAGTATTTTTCATTAAATTCCCAAAAAGATGTCGCAGCTGAGTGCAAAACTTGTCATGCACAAGTTTGTGCCAATATCAGATCAATATCGGTATCGGCCAATACTGAAGGCTACAATATCAGTATTGTATCAGAAGTAAAAATAGTTGTATCGGGACACCTGAAGATACCGTAAATCCTTCCTTACCGCTGTATTCAGACTGTTTAACCAGGCCTCCTTTCGCTCCTTTCCCAGGTAATTACTCAAATAAGGTGCAATAACATGTCCAATCCTTTTTTGATCACTGTGTAGAACCATTTTTAGTTTTGTATATACAATTTTTTGTACAGTACAAGTAAACTTTTTAGAATCATCTTATGAAGAGTGTATTTATTCTTCTATGTTTGCTATGCTGATCCTTTGGTGCTTTTAACATTGCAAATTTCCCCACCATGGGATGAATAAAGGTTTATCTTATCTTAAATGTACATCTTTTTGTTCAATTTTCCATCAGGTAGAAATGAACACAGGTGGTTTCATATTACATTTAGCAACAGTATGGTTTTTAAAGTTCAAAACATGTTTCAGTGCAAATCAATTGGCTAAAGGTGTTTGTTTGTGCACAGCCGAGATGCTCAGTGAGGAGCTGCTGGTAGCGATACACAACACCTACTGACACGTAGATTAATAACTTTGCGGACAGAGGCTGGTATTATTTGAGCGCAAAAGGAGCAACAATATAAGATTTATAAAGCACACAGTTATTTTAGTCTGGGCTTCGCAGCTAAAATTCCAGGTGCTGTTTACCAAAAGAGAAATCTGAGGTTGACCCTCCTCTGGTTTTGTTTCCATAAGAAATGCCCGAGCTGTTTAATATGGCACAGACAAAGACACCTTGGCACCTGGCGCTTTGCTTCAAGCAGTGACCAATAAACGATGGTCATTTCTTAATTTGCAATAGCCTTTCATTTGGCTCGCCACGGGGGTGTTGTAGAACAACTGATGATTTAAGACCATCTTTGATTACTTTGTTGCTCCCCCAGCATTCACCACATTCACTCACACAGGACTAATTAATTTGGTATAGATCAGATTCTTTTTTCTTTTAATTAATGTAGCATTAAAATCTGAATTAGACTACATTTCCAAAGGATCTCCGTGGATGGATACGCTTGCACACTCACACTGAGTTTAAGTGGGTGTTATCTTTACCATTTTAATGGCAGATGTACAATCACAGCGAATGAACACAATTATATAGAATGTTATCTAATCAAGATGGGAAAACAGTGGGGAGGAGGCTCTTGCAGATTACTTATGAACAGTGAATTCACAAAGCACACGTATCATAGAGAGGATATTTAATTCCAGCACTGCTATAGGAATGTATTTGGCTGTTTCTCTGTATGTAACAATGACACTGTTAAAATCCCAGTGACACTAAGGCTGATATTTCAGCTGCCCTCTCAGGCATCACAAAACCAATTCTTGCTCCTCTAAAGGCCTGGCCAAACTAATGAATCTGTGAGAGCACCTACAAGCCATCGATAGTCAAATAATCTTAACCTGCAGGATTACCCGATCCTGTCTAAACAGAAAGTTATGTCAGAATTAATCTGCATTATGAGGTCACTCAAACAAGGTTGACATTTTGCCTGCCTGGATCGCCTCCCTGTCGCTTTGTGTTTGTGATACCAGCCTATGTAAATAAGGGAGCTCTGCTCTTCTGTTCCGCTTTGCCTCAGAATTTGTTTAGGATTAGAAATCTCATTTTGCCCCGAGCCCTGCTTGCTTTAGATCAGTCAGCTCATCTGCAGATCTCTGCGCAGATAAACACCGCCGTTCTCCGGGCCTCAGCGTTTTTTACATTCTGCAATTTGCAGAGAAACCAGTGTGCTCTGTTCCTGTCACATCACAAGCAGAATGGGGGGGAGCGAGTGGAGGGGTGGGTGGAAGATGAGGAGGCGGTGGCACACCTGCGGGTCGTGACAAGTGTGCGAGGCATGGCAGAAAGAGTAAGCGCTCCAGGGGTTATCTACCTAATTTCAAATCCATTCTGGGAGGAAAGCCCGGGCGCTACTCCCATCTTTACAGAAAGATTTAGAGCGAGTCAGTTGACAGGGCAAAAAGGCAAGGACAGCCTTTGTGTGGGAGATGAGTGACAAAATGAGTCATGGCCGTCAGTTGGGTTATGGAGTGTGATGAGGAACAAAGAGACTGTGGACCTGTCACAGAGCAAAGCTAATTGAAGAAATCTCACTACTTATCATAACCACAGGACCTGGATGTCAGATTATGAAGTGACAAAGAAGTGTATCTTTACACTACATGGTATTTTTATAAATCATATCTGTATGGGCTGAATCTTGAAGCAGGGAAAAGTGGGACAGGAGATGCTAAAGTGATAACTCCTGCAGCTTTTGTTTTCTCACACCTCTCAGTTGCTGTCACGCATTTCTCCTCAGCTCTGTCCCTGGCCCTACGGTGCTATTTCTGGGCGCAAAATACGGATGTTACATAATTTTTTTCTTTCAAGATACACAGGTTACACCCAGGGCTGTCCACCTTCGCCACCATGCAGAAACCAACCTGGAAAACGTCCTGGGGCGGAGCGGCACTGAATGTCCCCGCTTTGTGCAGCACACCAATCTGTTGGGGTTGAGTCAGAATGGCCACCCACGAGCGACTTCCTCTGTGTCCACTCACGCCGGCCACTCGCTGAGAGACGTCAGCCGCTAATCTAGCATAGCAAG